CAGAGCCAGAGGGGACAGCGAGCCAACGTGGGCCAATGCAAGTCAACGTGAGTCAACGTGGGCCAAGTGACACCAACGTGGGCCAAGTGACACCAACGTGGGCCAAGTCACACCAACGCGGGCCAAGTGACACCAACGTGGGCCAAGTCACACCAACGTGGGCCAACACACGACAACACAGGCCAAGACGAGTCAACCTCGGCCAACGTGAGTCAACACAAGCCAACGTGAGTCAACACAAGTCAACGTGGGCCGCGTCACGCTCCTCGTGAGCCCACACGTGTCCCATGGGCCGACACGTGTCAACACGGCCATGACCTGTCCCTGCCCCCCCTCCTGTAGGAAATAAAGCCCTGAGGCAGCAGCAGCTCCTGCCTGGGGGGTGTTTTATGGGGGGGGGGGGTCACCAGCCCCCCCCAGGGGTCTTTCAGTGGGGAGAAAGGGGGTCCCCACACCCCACAGGCCGTGACTCCCCATTTCCCCCAGAGGGGATGCAGGTAGTGCCCACAGGTGTGTCCCCCCCAAAGAAACACACGGCACACGGGGGGCTCCAAAAGGACACGTGTAATTTGGGGGGGCCCCGTGTCCCCCCCGGGGCCCCCCCATCCCGCACGGTACAAAACCCAACGATATAAATATCACTTTGTTAAAAAACAATAAGGGGGGAAACCAACAAAAAAACCCAAAATCAACAAAAATGGGGAGCGGGGAGGGCCGGAGGGGACCCCAAATCAGTAGTGTGGTGGAGGGGCTGTAGTTTTGGGGACCCCCCCATGGAGATGTGGGGGGGCCACACCCCAGTGCCCAATGGGAGTAGAAAAAGGAGGTTAAAAGAAACAAAAAAGGAGGGAAATGCCCCAAAATGGGTCCGAAAGGGGGGGGGTAGTGGGGTGAGCCCCTCACTCCCCAAATCTCTGACAGCAAGGAAGAAGAAAGGGAGCACCAGGATAAGCCCCCCACTCCCTAAAATCTCTGCCTGAGGGAGGGCACCGGGATTAGCCCCTGCACCCCCAAATCTCCAGGATGATGCCGCCCCCCACGCCCCAGATCTCTGCTGGGGGGGCCCGCAGCACTGAGTGCCCCCCCAGCTCAGTAGTACAATTTGGGGGGCCGGCGCCCCTCGCCAGCGCCCCACCAGTAACGTCCCAGTGCCGCTCCAGTTCGGGGGTGCCAGTGAGAAGGAGGAGGAGGCTGGGGGGTCTCCCCCCTCCTGGGGGGGTCTCACCGGAGCCGGTGCTGCCGCATGAGGGGGACGATGCAGGCGGGGGGGCCCGCGACCCCCAGGAAGGGGTGTCGGAGCAGCTCCGGGGCGCTCGCCCGCTGCGCCGGGTCCCGCACCAGCATCCGCTCCAGGAACCCCTTGAGGGAGGGTGACACCTGGGGGGGGCAGAGGTGGGGTCAGACACCCCCAGGGCCCCCCTGGGAGTGGGGACCCCCCCTCTCCGAGTTACCTTGTGGCCATTCTTGAGCCGGGGGGGGAGGTTGTCGCGGATCAGCTTCATGGCCTTGAGGGGGGGCTCATTGAAATAGGGGGGCTCCCCATCCACCATCTCGATCACCATCACCCCCAGAGACCAGATGTCCACCTGGGTGGGGGCCGCCAAAAAGAAAAGGGGGGG